TCCAGCACTGGCACATCAGCTGCCAGTTTCAGGCGTCGCTTCACTTAAGCAAAGATTCTCTTTGGGGCGGTCTTCGCGGAGATTGCGAGCTGCTCTTCGAAATGTCGGCACTTATTCATTTTTGCACTGTTGAAGAGATTCCGCTGGCTTTTGTACCATTCGTAGTCATTAGCAGAGCTACAGAGGAATCTGTCCCACAGTTTGCGCCGCCTCCGAGCCAGATTTCCATACTCCTTGCCAAACAAATGAGGCTTAATCGGTCCAACCTTCCGATATTTTAAGGCCACAAATTGGTAACACAATGTTGTCAATTTCCCTTTTATACAAATACAACAGTCTTCTACAGATGTAGCTTGTGACAGAGACCAATTCAGTTGGCTCGTGGCTCGAGCTAGACTGTCGAAGCCCGTTTTCTAGTGGTTGTAAGCTAGTTCCATCAGACTTGAATACGGCAAAAATAATTCCATATTAGCTATGAGCACTGAGTGGTCGCTTGTAGGCAGGGGTTTCAGGATCCTAACGTCACGCACTCGTTGTTCGTAGCTCGTTAACATCAAGTCGAGACAGGACGGGGTTGAGCGTGTTGTTATGCGTGTTGGCTGGCATATGTGTTGCGATGCCCCAGTTTCAAGTACCAAATCCACGAACTTTGCTTCAACCTCACTATGTCCAGGCATCAAATGCACATCAGGCGATTGTGTTCGGGGACAGTTAAAATCGCCCATAAGAATAAAGTGTGGACGACTCATGTGGGTTCGAAGATGGGACAGTCAATTCAAACAACGACTCAGGGGGCTGCGATAGACTGCGCCCACAAGTAGTTCTCCGCGCCTGAGGTGGATGGAGCACCACAGTAACTCACACAAACCATCGTCACTTCGGTAGGTGCTCACAAGTCTCCCACGCAGGAAAGACCGGATGTAGAGCAAGACACCACCGCGGGCATTCGTTAATTTATCTCATCGAAAGCAAGCGTAATCGTTTTCAAGTTCCTGGGTGTATAACTCTGAATGCAGCCATGTCTCTGCGAGTCACACTACGTCTGGCCGCTCAGACGCAACGAACTAACAAAGCGCATCGCGCTTGTTCATAATACTGCAAACATTCATGAAAGCTACTCGCAGACCGCAGCTAGAGCCGCCGGGCGTGCTTGAAGTGTGAGCAGCCTGTTGAATACTGAATACTGTATTACAGAGCAAGTAGAAATGAATTCTGTACAACTCTTTCGAAATATGGTGAAAAAGGTTATAAAAATTGTCAGCCGTGAATATCGTTGTCGTTCTCATGTAACATTTAAAATTCTAACTCACGATATTGCAGGACCCACAAATGTGATATGTCGTCGTAAGTGTGCAATCGTTCTCTGAATGGAATAGTGGTAAAATATAAATCTAACAACTTTCTGGAAACCACTAGCAAATTTACGATACGAAGCTTTATTTCCCCTTCACCAATACGTCTTTTTAGTTCATTGATGACAGACTTGAGCCGTTCCCTGTCTAGGTCTGGACGAACATGGATCTTCAAACCTTTCAGCCTACTTATGCAGGACGTGATCAGTCTTGGACTGGCTTCGTCCACAAAAGTGATTCTTATAGGCCGATTTTGTTGATCACCTTGCTTTCCAAAACGGGTAATTTGCCTCACTTTTACCGAGTCCTCACCAGCGTCGAGGATTCTGTCAGTTAGACACTGTAAAAACTCGGCATCGTGATCGTAGCGCACTTGGGGTGATAGATCACTGGACTCTAGCGCCTGGAAGATCACGAGGTTATAATGCCTGTGGTCGCTCCAGGTTGACCTTGCAGAGCGAAGTGTATTACCAGCCTCACGTGGTTTGGCTAACTGTTGACTTAAGGAAGTTAGACGCCCAACATCCTTTCGTTATTTTGTTCTTTCCACTGGCCTTCAGCACTCAGACTTTCACCTGCTGGGACATCATTGCTCGTTGGACATAACAAGGATAAACATTTTATGCCAGGTGAAACTGGACTTCTCACAACGGTTGGACTTCGTGCCGGTGAGTTTACACAGGTAGATGAGGAAGACTGAGCTGAAAACTGAAGACCCTTCGGGCTAGGTTGTTGGGCCAAACACATGGAGCTGTTCGCAACAGAATGATGTAACCTACACATCGGCTTTACTCTTCCTGACTGTATGTTGTTTCGGCAATTTTCCCATAAAGTTTAAACGAAATCGTGTTGGATTTTATGAATGCCATGAACACCCTCAACTGATAATCTAACACATGAAATGTGGTATTTAACGACACAAAACACACGTGAGGGCATTTGCACGGTATCCGATTATCTTGGAACAAGTACCACAGGGTGATTACTTCGGCATCGTGAGTAATCCGAAAACAAGATGGCGGCCATCTGCTAGAGAAAATGGCGATAGCAAGATCGCCGAAACCAAGCTATGAAAACACAAGTATTTCCTTTCGAAAAATTGAATCAGAAATGAAACTGAATTGTATAGTTGGTAAAAGTTCAGATCCGCCTTCGGTTCCTTCGTAATGACTGGCGTTGCAAATAGGATTTATATTCGCATATCGCGGATTGCGAGTACAGTTGAGGAATAGGCGTTTTTTGTTTGGTCAGTTCACCGGAGCAGGAGGAGTACGCGTTTGGTGTGTGCTCAGGAATGTATGGTCAGAGTCGGTAGGGTGCTTTAGGTCGACCGATTGTGTAGCACCGACGTGCGCCATTCTCAGTTATTGGCGATGTGACCAATTCGGATCAAGGTTGGATTGTCACTCCGTAAGAACCTGCTTACTGCTGATATGAAGGTTATGATCAACGCACAGCAGGTGAAAAACCCATTTGCCATTTTTAGTACGACAAGCATCGGCTCGAGACGTTAGCTGAGGCAACCCATTTCCTTTGGCGAGTGTCCATGTCAACCGCAATGATCACGTCTGTACTGTTTGCCTTTCGGATTCGAGGCATGCTGTTCTTTGGGCTCATTCTTGAAGTCTTCTAGAATTGCAGTTGGTGGGAGCTCATGAGCTCATAGCAATATACCACCTTACCTGCGGCCACTGTTTATGAGCAGCACTGAAGCTTCGAGGCCGAATGGCGCACATACGACTGTTAACTGAAATCAGTTGTTGAAGAGCAACCCATGTACGCGTATTGATCGTGGCGCGCATACTATACATACCGCTAGCTTCGAATTCCGCACCACGTCTGATCTCTGTCCTCGGTATATAATTATAAGAATCGCGGCCGCATGTTTCCACAAACCACACATCGACTCCAAGTTATTTTGAAGTCACAGTTAGCGTAATCTGTTAACCGCTCTGAGCAATGAGCTTGTTAGGCGCCGCCTGTTCGGTGCATGGAGAGCGAGTGAACCGCTCCGATGGCTGGGCCACTTGTTGCGCATTGTGTGTTTGCGCACCGTGGGTCTGGATGGAAGCAGACTAAGGGAGGCCAAGCGATGACTTGGTCAAGAGGAATGAAGTCCCTGACTTCGAAGTTGGCGTCAGTGTGTGTTTCCCGACTGCTGGTCTGGGGACCGAAGGCTAATGACCACATTTGGCTGGATACACTAACTGACATGGCGAAGAGTCGACCTCAGTAGCGTTTGTGTTGTGAGTCTCTCTGTTCTTCCCCTACCAATGACAATTTAACATTATGCTACTTTTTAGCTAGTTGTAGTCTGCATTGCTTAATCTCTTATCTTTTTGTATTGTGACACATTGACTGAGTTTCTCACCTTCGGCTAACGTGTATTGATGATGATGATGAACCGATCTGACATGCGTTAAAAGTTGCCGATGTGAACGCTGTTGTAAATTTGGTAAACGATTTGGCTTTTTGAGTAGTGTGGTTACTATAGTCCGTAGTGTTCTTTCTACTTAACACGAGTATACGACTCGTGAGAAAGGTGAAAAGGAGAAGGGCAAGTATCACCGGCGATGTTGGATGATACTTCCCGGTCGCTCATTGCAAGAGAACGGTTTGTTCGAACTCGCCCATCCACCAGATGCTGAGTTAAATACAGTTTGTTTAAGGGACCGCACTCAAAGCCTTCGATTGACGCACTGGTCAGTAGGGATTTGGTTCCATACAGGAGTGTTTTTGGAGGTACCTGCCCCACAATCCTGGAAGCTGGGGAACTAACAATAGTTGCATGTGTGTTTTGGCCGTATGGTACCTCAAGTAAATCTCAGCGGATTTTTTCATCACGGGTAATCCGGTTTATAGATGGCCGTAACCAGCTAACGAGCAAAAGTGATGCTCTATAATTATCAGTAGCAGCCACTGGTACCAATTTTCTATACTAATCGAGCTCGGTTGGATTTTGTATGATGAGACATCTTCAATCTCCACCAAGTAGGACACAGGCTCGTTTCGTTTGTCCCTCATCCATCGAGCTGTCCGGTAGAAGTGTGTCAGACATGCAATTCGTCACCCGACGTAGTACAGCAAGTTCTGGAAGTGCACCACCTTAGGGTCAAGCATCATAGCGATATTTTGGTTTGAATCAAGTATGCATGTTATCAAATCCGCCCGCTTCTTAGAGGGGATCCATTCTTCACTCTATTTTTGACTTCCACTTTCATTCTACCGAAATCGCCGTCCAGATGCGTGTCACCTCGTTAGACTACTGAAAGCTGATTAAAGTAACTTTCCTAAGTGCTACCCCACTCATCAGGTGAAAATTGTACAAGTAGTCTATCGGGGTGGCCCCATTTGGGTTCTTCTCTCGATTAGGACTGCAATCTGGCCTGGATTTCCCGATTAAGGAAATCGTTAATTCATTGCGTTATCTAGCAACAGGCGTTGGTTAAATGTACGACTACTTATATCTGAATTTCTGCACACCTTTGTGTCAATGTTTTGGCCTCTTGTTTACCGCCCATTATTTTGGCTATCCTTGCGGCTTACACTTTTTAACAACACTACTTGATCTTGCGGATGGTTGTGGATTTGATGCTCACTACTCTTAATACTGTCACTTACATTCTATTATATTGCCACCCTTTCCAGTGGTCTATGGTTCGATCGGATGTATGGCACTTTTCTCAAGATCGACCAATTTGGCAACGTGCTCCGTTGTTTGAGAGGATTCAAGCTCGTTCAGGGGTATGTTATATTGTTGTTACAGCCGTTTAACCTTCAGCGAACAATTGCGGGCGATGTACCCCAATAAATTTATAAAATATGACGAAAAACGCATAGAAATTATGAACACGTTGTTCAGTTTACCAGGTGGGTTTCCTGCCCATATGTTCACATTGACACGTGATGCAGAAATTCACATGCTATCGTGCATCATTCACTTCCTCACCACGGATCCATCGCACGTGCTTCAGGAAAAAGGAGTGATGAAGGGAAATTTGTACATGTCTTACACTTCCATTTATGAGGATGTTAGGGCAGCAAGAGACTGGATGCATCAGGTCAGTCTCCTATTTTTGCTTCGCCATTCTTCTTTCGATCTTTTGTTTCTGAGTCAGCAACCATGGGTACCTTTTCCTCTGGGGAGGTCTCATTCAATATATGCGCACTCTAGTGTAGTTACCATTTTCCCAGAGTTCGTTTATATATATGTATATATGTATATACTAAGGCTTAATGCTTTTCTTTCTCATATAAATGTCTACCAGTACTCTATTCCATTAACTTGCACACATCGCTTCAGCCAATTGTATTCGATTTCCGTAGCATATTTGTGTTCGTGGCATTCCGTGAACTATATTTCCTGACCTCGTGCACTTATCTAGGATTTGTTTGTAAACAACTTATTACATATGCTATTTACTTAAGGTTTATATCACCGTTTCCTTATGCATTAATCGAGTTTTTCTCTTTCTCTTTTTCTTTCTCTCTCTCTCTCTCTCTCAAGTGTTTGGCTGTTGTTTGATATCCCCGATGTGGATGCGCTTGATGTGCATGTTGACAAGGTGCCTACCTGTCTATTACCCACTACCTCGTCCATACTGGCTCCAGGAGACAGTTGGTCGTTGCTGGAGGGGACAGGGTGCACGGTCCTTGTGGCCATGTTAGGATCAAAGTGGTTCCATGCAGTCAGTGTGGAGCGGACTACGGTCCAGCCACCGCCTTGTGTGCGCTTGATTCCCAAATACAGTGTGCTTGTGTTTGTCTGTGAAGGAGTGTGGGCCTGCTCCGTTGATGAAACGTGGTTCCCATCCACATGCCTCCCGGTCTTATTCCTTCGGGTTTACACTGGATATGGGGTGTGTGGTTGGAGCTGTGGGTGGTGCAGCGCAAGCCATCCATGGTCCCTCTGTAGGCGCAGGCGTCCTGTGGCTGAACACAGTGACAGACAAATCCGAAACCGGATGCCGCCAACCATATATGTGTATACATATATATATATATATATATATATATATATATATATATGGTTGGCGGCATCCGGTTTCGAATTTACCTGTCACTGTGGCCAGACACAGGACGCCTGCGCCTACAGAGACCATGGGTGGCTTGCGCTGCACCACCCACAGCTCCAACCACACACCCCATATCCAGTGTAAACCCGAAGGAATAAGACCGGGAGGCATGCGGATGGGAACCACGTTTCATCAACGGAGCCGGCCCACACTCCTTCACAGGCAAACACAAGCACACTGTATTTGGGGAATCAACCGCACACAAGGCGGTGGCTGGACCGTAGTCCGCTCCACACTGAGTGCATGGAACCGCTCTTTGAGCCTAACACGGCCACAAGAACCGTGCACCCCGTCCCCTCCAGCAACGACCATCTGTCTCCTGGAGCCAGTATGAACGATGTAGTGAGTAATAGACAGGTAGGCACCTTGTCAACATACACATCAAGCGCAACCATACCAGGGATATCAAACAACAGCCGTTCACTTTAAACGACAAGCTGAAATAAAATAAATCCAATAATGCATACAGATACGGTGGCATAACTCTTCGCTAAATTACCATATGAAATAATTTGGTCAGCAACAAATCCGTGATAAGTAAGAAATGTCCACAAGTTACTTAAAATGCTACAAACGCAACAAAATTACCGAAGATAAGCGCAATTAGCGTAAGCAACGTGGCCAGTTAATAGAACATTATTCAGGGAGGCAGAACAAACCAAATAAAGTGGAATGAAATTTATCCAGCTTAAAAAGACCTAGTTTAAGTGTAAGTTGGTTTAGCCCAACTGCGGTGTAAAAGCATCAAGAATGCAACATCAGCCTCAGCATGGGGCTATATATATACAAATACATACATATATATATATTGTGGGAATCGTACCTAAAATAGGTGTAGACCAGTATGTACAGAAATGATCATGCTCTTGATTGAGTGCGTATTAACTCCATTTGTTAGTTATTTTTTGGGTCAACCTGAAATACTTCATCGTGTGATTTTTCGGATTAGAACATGGATAATACCACTTCCAGACCAAAGAAGGTATAGTGTTCAGTATGGAATGATGTAGGATTTTCACATGTCCTGGTTGTAGTTGGCAGGTTGTTCCATAAGGCGGCATATCTGATGCGGAAAAAGTCAGAGCGCATAGTTGTTCACTTCCTTGGTACGGGTAACGCATAATTTTTGTTGCGCAGTCTTTGGTATTTATCTTTTGTAAACGCTAAATTAAGCAGGTAGGCATATATTCTCTGTAACCTTCGAATTCCGGCACAGCATCTTGATCTCTTTGTTGCGTGTTTAGATTCCTCTCCTGCACAGTTTCTCCATCTTTTTGGTCCTTTTTGAAAGCGGACGAATTCTCTTTTTATATCGTAAAATGTATTGCCTACATGTTCACTAAATCGAAAACCTTTCCTCTGATTTATTGTCTTGTGGGGTGTTATTTTCTCCCGGCTTTGCCGGGTTCCATGCTCCAACAACCTTACTACTGGGCAGAACAACATGCTGTGCCAACTCCTGTTCACGTATTACTGTCATCGCGTGGGGGATGCGTGAATCTTCCGAGCGTTGTCATGCGAAACCGCTACAGGTTTTGAGTTTGACATGCCATTACGGTGAGATGACTAACGCATCACCCGATTGCTGTCAGCATGTGAAGTGAGACGCCTGCTATCCCGGGCCGGCCATGGAAAGAGCAAAGTTTGCCCAAGTGTCCTCCGTCCATTTTCAATTATATTAGCCTGACCACAATGGTTTCGACCGTCCGTCCGATTAGTTTCCTAATCCATTCGATTTGCCATTTCAGCACAACACAACATGTTTCAAGTGTATCGACTGTCCCAGTTTGGTGTCTACTTTGAACTAGGGGTCTCAGGATGTCTGTATTGAATGTATTTAACACTTGCCCAATAAACATTTGGCAGAGTGCCACAACACACGAGTAACAATAACAAAAAGGAGGAAGAAGAGTCAGAGGAAGGCATGTAAAGTCCCATGTGCCGTGTGAGCAGAGACCCTCCGGGTTGCCCAGGCCGAGGAAGAGGGTTGACTTAAGGGGCCCCACCCCGAACCTTTGGTCTTTAAGACGATTCACGAAGTCCGTTGACAGCCAGGTGGCTCATTCGTCTTCTTTGTGTTCGGGAGTAGTCCACAGAGAAGCCGGTGGCAAGCAAAATTGCTCATCCGCTCTCCGTTAAATACTCACCTCCAGTTACAGAAGTGAGTAGTCATTGACCCTAAAGCCGGTCACATTGACTTTGATGAGCACTTGTGGTATTTAATGGCGAACCAGGTGACTAGTCCAGAACTCCCCACGCTCTGCGATGCTGCCGCCAATTGTCCACGACTGCTTATTTATCTCACCTGCAGTTACCTCCACAAGAAAGGCATTCCCCGATCCGTAACCTGAGGACGCGCCGGATAGCACACACTTCTGCCACGACCATGGGTCTCAGGAAGGAACCGTTGGTGCAGCTGACGGGGGCTAAATGCATACACATTGGGCAGGGCTTCCTTATCCGTTTAGGCCGATGTCTGGTTATGTGACTTACGCACCTCAGCCCATAGGTGCAAGTACGTTGACATGGAATGTAGGATCCGGACTGGATCAGTCCGAAGTGGTCATAAATGTTTGTCTTCTGCGTACTTTTTAGCTTGTAAGCTTTACCAGTTAACCGTGAATGTCATAGTTCTATGGCCTCTGCCGAAGCACTTCAGAATACGTTGACGCGTAACGCTCGCTTCTTCTACGTGTGCTTCCCGACTTTAAACGATGAAGTACTGTTGCAAGTCTCGACCAACACACCACTGCTTCTAGCTGACATCGGGCAAACAATCGAGACAGCCAATTCGTTTATTTATCTAGGCCTTTTTGTGTTTATTCTCAGACTATTTGATGCACCGTTGGAATGTCTGTTAAACACCAAATAGGTCATATCCCTTGGATACTTGTCGACCTTTTGCTCGCCGTGTGTTTGTTGCGGACACCTCACCTGGTTGGTCTAACTCTCGAACCAGTCGGTTGATCAAATGGCAAAATGTTATGAGAAAACCAACCAAAAACGTAAATCGTCTTGATGATTATTCTTTTCCTCGAGCCACCTGTAAGAAACAGGAACACTATTGGCTAGAGACCTTATCGTAAACGACCCTATTAAAATTCGATGGCCCCCTGCTCTTGTTTATGGCCTTATGACACTTAATTCTATTTCTGGTAACTTTCAAATTTTCCAGTCAATTACTGGAATTCGCGAACACGATACCATACAGAACATCTATTTTCAATGCTTTATCACATATAGGAGCAGTAGAAATAAACTTATCCTAATTAGCTCAGGTCACCTTATTTACGTGGAACTCATTGAGACCACCAAATGACTTGTGTCTTAAAAGGTTGTATGTTGCGGAGCTTGACCTATAAAGCTGACCTCAGGGTTCTGTGGCATGGCCTTCGAATCGGCCGTTGCTGTTTCTCCTTGGAATACCTTTTTTATGCCATCTACGACGGATTTCTACAACTTGGTTGTGCCGTTTTTAGAATTTTGTTTGTCTGAACTCTTCCAACTCATCAATATGATACCATGACGATTTTTTAATCGTCCCGGTACACTGTCTAAAACACGCCTTATCTCAGGTACAGTCACATGGCCAGAGACACCATCAAACAAATCTCAAGAAGACTAATACCATGAGAAAACACCGTACTGGTTGCCGACTCGGCCCCCAGCCACCGTCCTGTAAATGGAGTACATCACCATCAGCAGCAGCAGTACATCAGCCATTTTAACTGATGCTTCGCTTCCGGATAACCACGGTGACGTACGAGAAAAGAATAACGACAGGGAGGGAGCGTAACACCTTAATGCCATAAACAAACATTATGAGTCAAGGAGCCTACTCCTTGTCAACAACATGCCATCACAAACAGCTGTCTATTCTGCAAAGACAAAGCGGCATCGGCGAGACAGCTTCATTGCGGCTTTCACTGCTCCGCATCATAATCGCTCATTACTACCCATATAACTGAGCATCAAACAGGCAGTCC